GTCTGCTCCAACCCCATTGTTCTGTGCCCCCTCTTCAATATGTCATTCGATGAGGCGCCAATTGGCTCAGCCCTTGCTGCCAGAGCAGACTCAGAGCTAGGGGAACTCTTAGCAGTTACTTACAGGGGCCACCACTGCAGCCCCTCCCTTGCTGCCAGCAGAGCTGGAGTCCAGGGACACCTTCAGCAGCTACTTACAGGAGCCATTACTGTGGCCCCTCCCTGCTACCAGACAAACCCACACCACCTTCCTACTTCCCAAATAATGTCAAGAAAACAAGCACAAAGGAAGAAATAAACATCTGGGTCTGCACCTCGCCATCCCATATCACAAGAAATTTATTTTTAAAGCAATATAGCCTCAAGTCTCTAGTAACTAAACAAAACAGCCCAATAGGTGTCTGCCACAGCAAATGCTGATACCTTCTCAGAGGAATACATTACTGACAAAAGTGTCTTTGCACCTCCTCAGAAGTCTTAAAAATATACAGCCTGTGAGTTTAATAAATCACCACTTTTCTTTTCAGAAGCAACATCCAACACCTCATTATATTACTGAGAGGGGGGAAATAAAACCCTACATTTTAATAATCTCAACAAGTAGAAATGTAGCAGAACAAACACCCCTTCAAACAGAGGATAGCAGACGTAAAAGTGACTTCAGCTACCTGGCTCTGGACACTTTCCATATATTGGAAGTTATTAATTTTACATGATAGAGTACCAGTAATACCTTGGAAAGTTAAGTTATAGAGCAACTATTATCCATATAATATTTTTATGCTCCAGTCTATATGACTGCTGTGGATTAAAAGCCACCACACAGCCTGTTGCTAAAAACCTCGTGGGCTAAGGCAAGGACAGGGAGGGTTCACTCACCACTTACGGTCACGGGCAAGAAACAGACTTGACTTCGGAAAAACACAAAAATAACTTAATTTGACAACAATAAAAACAAAACAAAACAACAGAGCAAGATAATGAGAAAGAGAACTCCATCTTAACAAGGCACCTCTCCCCCACCCCTCCCTTCTTCCTGGGCCCAAAGGCTTTGTTCCCGATTTCTCTACCTTCTCTCCCCAGCAGCGCAGGGGGCAGGGAATGGGGGTTGTGGTCAGTCCACCCCGTGTTGTCTCTGCCGCTCCTTCCTCCCTGCTCCAGCGTGGGGTCCCTCTCATGGGAGAATCCTTCACAAACTGCTCCAACGTGAGTCCTTCCCACAGGCCGCAGTTCTGTGCTAACTGCTCCTGCGTGAGGCAGTTCTGCCCAGGGCCACCCCCGCTCCCTGCGCTGTGCCCCCTCTTCAATATGTCATTCACAGAGGTGCTGATGGGCTTGGCCCTGGCCAGAGGCGGGTCCGGCCTGGAGCGGGGGAAACTTCCAGCTGTTTCTCACAAGGGCCACGACTGTAGCCCCTTCTCTGCTACAAAAAAAACCCCAAACAACAAACCACCACACAAAACCACAACAATGATATTTTCTGAATTCAAGACAAAGCTTTGATCCCTTCTCCACCTGCATATCTGCAGTTACTGAAAGATTTAAGAATTGCTGCAAGTGTCCTTTGAGGGAACGCGTCTCACAGAAGGTGAAAGCAGAATGAAAGACACAGAATAATTACAAGTAATACACCATCACCAAACCATTTTCTGTTAATTCCAGCCCTGTACTCCACATAGGAGAAGGCACAGATCATTCTCCAGATTATTGATCAGAACTGTTCAAACATTTTCAGCATACAAATGTGAAGATCATTGGCTGCTTATGAAAAAAACACTGCTGCTCATCAGCTGGAGCAACTACACATGCAGGGAGCTGCACGCTCCCTCTTCCCCAGCCTCTGAGCTAGGGAAGAGGAGCTGCTGGGACGCTGGGTGAGGTCTGTGCATTCAGATGCTGCTCTGAATCTCTCCGGGAGATTTTATTAAGATCTAACAGCAGATAAGCAGGATTAAGCAGCTAAATCTTTTAAAGCCTTTCTTTACTGGGCCACACAGAATTTTCCCAAAATAATGCTTACGTTTTGCAATAACCCTTCCTTGCCCCCCATCAGCAGAAATCACATTTTAAATTCCTCCTCCTTTCCCTTCATTCACTCAAAATGATTTTAAGAGGGGGTAAAAGCCCTCCCCATCTCCCTTGGGTTGCAAAATACCATATGGGTGCCTCCCCTAGCCCTGCCATCAGCTGCTGC